ATCTTATGTCAGTCTCTTGGTTCTAAACTACCTCTCCACCAATTCCAGCCAAATAGATTTAGCCGTTCTTGACTTATAAATAGTATAACAAAAACGACTATCTATTATAGATATGCATACTTGTACACACGGCTACATATAGAGCTTTACATAACCAGTATAAACTGAACGTTAAATGTGCGGAAAGATGATGCGACGCGACACCAGGATAAACTGGTTTTGTATAGATTGATGTGTAGCCGTGTGTACTTATATTCTCTCGCTGAAAGCAAAACAAATTACTTTCATTCTAATTAATATTAGCATTAAACATTTCATATGAAATTGGGAACTTTTACAAAAAGATCACTTACCGAAAGGTATTTTGACACCTAAATGTAACATATTATGTTACATTTTCCTTTAAAATGCTGGTCCATTTGTCACCCTTTTACAACTGCTGAACTCTTATCACATGTATAAGTTACGTACATTATTGTTTTGAAGCGCTAGTGTATTGCGCTAATGTAATCCTTATGTTGTACGGGATAAGGGCGTATTTACTATGTATCTACACGAGAGGATGCGAATCCGTGCCCTGTTCAAGCGTAAAGACTTGATTTGTACAAGTTCTTCAGTACTTTTCAATATTTGTGAACTTGATTACTTTGTTTCGAGTAGAGTTTATATTCAAAATATATTATTTCTACAATATTTTTTGCTGTTTTCCTATGTTTTTTACTTCTTTTGATCTCTGGACGCGGGTGGAATTCTCTCGTTTTTACTTGTTGCTTATTAATGTATCTGCCCAATCCAATATGGGATAATCGATCAATCTGCTTTCTCGTTTCGACTACAACACAAGTAATTTCAAAACATCTTAAAGATTTGTTTGTCAGCTCATTACTCCTAAATTGCTTGATAGATTTAGATGAAACTTCTCTAAAATGGCATTATACTATATGTAGCATTTTGTTGTAATGTTTCTCTTGTGTTATAGCCTAAACCATTACTAACCTTTACGCAACTTCAGAGACAATAGGTAAAATATAAAAGATATGTTTACAAAATCAGTGTCTTACAGTTTTACTGAAATTTTGAAGCAACCAGTGCCTAATGCAGTTAGTTACGCAACATGTAGTTAGCGCTTGTCAATTTCTTATTTCTTTAACTAATAAATCATTGACCTGGGATTCGTTTTATTATTTTAATGAAACTCCTATACCGCCCTACTCTGACTCAACTGGTCAAGATCTAAATGGTCAGCGGTGACCTCTCTAGTTACACCATTTTATAGACCTTATTTCCGATGGTTAGAGACTACTTTTATATGAACAAAATAATGTTGCGAATTTTTCATAATCTAACATTAAGAATTAATGGTCTCTTAACCGAGTCCTTAGCAATTGTTTTCGGAACAAAATCGATCTACCTCGTTGACCGGGTGGTCGCAAGTTGCGACAACCATTTTAGAATACTTATTAAAATCGCCAACTTTGGTGAAATTTGCCACTACAGTACAGTACAATTTTTTTTCAGTACAGTCACTTAACACTGGGAATACCGATATTTTAGTCAAAAGAGGCACCGGTGTAAGGCGGCCAATCGTCCCGTATTCTGCGGGACCGTCCCGTAATTCTAGATGTAATCCCGCTTTGAAATAATTTATAAAATAGTCAGTAATAGAATAGTAAAACGTTAGATGCATCCCGCAAGTCCCGCATACCTATTTTTTTTTTCATTTCATTCTACACGACACCAACACACGCGCACTAACAACAGCGCGAATAAATGAAGATCGAAAAAATCGTCACTAAAAGTGAAAACACTACGTGCTCTGTTTGTACTTAAATTTAATATGGGAAGTTGCGAAGATTTTCATGACATACCTACTCAATAAGAATCCTGAACTTGTTAAAAAGTGTCACTCTAGAGATAAATACGATTTTATCAATAGTTAAATAACTTTTGTATATAAGTTTTATGTTTTTATGTAATTGTACCTAGGTGTTTTTAAGGAGGGGGGGATCATCGAATGAATTCTCCCACCTGGGTGAGGCGGAAGGGAGTGTCAGACTCTTACTGACTAAAAACGACCCCGTTCCTACTCCTGCAGTTCGATCCGATGTAGAGGTAATTGTAGGTGTACCGACTAGACTTTATCTACAAAAAGTCCCGCATTGGACTTTCAGAAAGTTGGTCGCCTTACACAGGTGAACTTTTTCGTGGACAACACATTATCATATACCAAGTCATTGTAATTTAAAAACTATATGACTTGGATATTTTTTTTTTATTTTTCTGATAACTGTAGGAACCTTGTCAACCACCTGGTGGCGTTTGATCGTCGGCTTCAGGGACACTGTATACTTAAATTTTATGAAATACCTAGCTATTGCCCGCGACTTCCTCCGCGTAGAATTACGTCTGGCAGAATTTAGCCTTTTGAATTAGACTTTACCAAGGGACATTCCACGGTAACAAAAAATGTCGTCAGACTTGATTAGGTTATATTTATTGTGAAATGAATTTGTTTTCGTGATTTCGAAAAAGTGTGTCAGACTCTTACTGACTAAAAACTACCCCGTTCCTACTCCTGCACTTCGAGCCGGAGCCCCGGCACCCGTTAAGTCTTCCGCAGCTCCGTATCGGCATCAGCCCTGTTGGGCTCCATCTGTGGTGGTCTGATGGCTCCTTGAGGCGCGCGCGGAACGCGACACGACGTACGCTCGGGCCTGGTTTGGTCGGGCTCGTGCTCGCCGTCCGCAGGCCCGTGCTTACGGTGGCCGGAGATCGTCTCGCGATCCCCGACGTCTGGAGTGTCTCTCGCGAAGGCTGGGGCGTGAGGTGGTTCGTTCGTTCGTTTTTTTAAGGGGGGCAAATCATCGGATGTCTGCTCCCGCCTGGGTGAGGCGGGAGGGAGTTTCAGACTCTTACTGACTAAAAACCACCCCGTTCCTTCTCCTGCACATCGAGCCGGAGCCCCGGCAACGCGTTAGGTTCTCCGCGACACTTTATTGGCATATATGGATGACCTGTTGGTACTATCTGAAGGATACCAGCACCATCTGCAAGACCTCGAGGCAGTTTTTACACGATTGGCCGAGTTTAACAGTGAGCGCGTTATACTCCAGGGAAGGCGAATGTCGTTGCCGACACGCTGAGTAGACCCATTTGTTCCAACGATACAAGCGACAGGTGCGGTATTTGTTCTGTCATTTGTGACCTACCCGCCAAGACACCTAGTCAGCTTCGTTTGGAACAAACTTCAAACCCTGTGATAGAAAGGTCATTAAAGATCTAAAATGATCTGACGATGTAGCGTCAAAATGATGGTTAGAAAGGGGTTACCTTATGGACCAAGGAGTTCTGTACCGTTTTAACCCAGACTCCGATACCGAGTCCCTCCAAGCCCCCAACTGGTTATACCTGCTAGTCAAGTTGTAAAAGAGCGACATGACTCTGAAACAGGTGCCATCCGGGTATTGACCGAACATACCAGAAGGTAGTACAGCTGTATTATTTCACAGGGATGCGGAGAATAATCACTGATTATGTTTGAGCCTGCATCCATTATCAGTGCCATAAAGCGAATAATAACAAATCACCAGGCCTTCTCCAGACACTGGTCATGAGCCAGCGGAATGAGGTGCTGGCCAAGGACCTGTTCGGTTCCCTACCAGAAGGAGAACAGGGGCAGCGGTGGGTTTTTATTATTGAAGACACCGCCACCCGTTGGACCGAACTGTTTGCGCCAAAGGAAGTAACAGCAGAGGCCTGTGCCCATGTCCTCATCGAGAAATATTTCATGCGATACGGTTATTGCCTCGCAGGATTATTTCAGATAATGGTGACATATCTTGAGTGATCCAAAGAAGCTGCCAGTGATCCGCTTTGCACCTAACAGCGTGAAATTACGCACGACCGGTAAATCACCAGCTTATTTAAGTTGTGGCAGAGAAATGAGGTCACCCACAGAAGTCGTTCATGACTTTCGTGCCCTTAGGGATATAGAAAATTTTGTCCCTCAAGTAACCCCTTACCTCAAAAACTTCTTACATTCTCTATCAGCAGTTTGAGATCGCGTCGAGAGTCAACAAGATAAGAGTATGCTTCCCGCCGACCAACTGTGCATTCGAGGCATTTTGAGGTAGGTGATCTAGTCTTGCTCAAGTCACACTTGCTGAGTAGGGGACATAAGGACCTTACATCCAAGTTCTTTCCTCGCCAAGGTGCTCCGTACCAAATCACAAACAAGCTGAGTTATTATCCGAACTCTATTTTACTAATTTCCAATCCTAAGAACCTCCTCTTATAAACGTTTAATGGTATAAACAATTAATAGTTTCTTTTATAAGGAGATTGACAGTTGTAGGTAAAAACATATCAATATGGCGGCACGGAAAAACTGGTTATTATGCTGACAAATACTGATATTTGTCTATGTGGACCAGTGTGGCTACAGGAAAAAGAATGAGACGCCATCATTAGGTTGGTTCTTGACAGAACAAAGAAAATTATTGATGAATATTATATACGTATAACTATTTTTTAAGGGGGGAAAATGGTCCAATATCTTCGCCAGCCCGGGTGAGGCGAGAGGGAGTGACAGACTGACTAAAACTACTAACGATCACCCCGTTCCTACTCCTGCACTTCGAACTGGAGCCCCAGCAACCCGTTAAGCCCCCCGTGGCTCCGGCATTAGCCCTATTGGGCCCCATCTGTGGTGGTCGGTCTGGTCTGATAACTCCTTGAAGCGCGCGCGGAACGCGACGCGCTGGTTCTGACCGGAATATTATATACGTATAACTCTCGGAACAATAATTGTTCCGAAGTATAACTAGGAGTTAATGTTCGGTTACTCACAGACTTCAATATCTACTGAATAACTGAAGTCTGTGAGTGAAATGCCGGAATGAAATCAAAGATAATAATAAGTTTAAGGTAAGGGATGTGTAACTAATTAAGCAAACGTCAAGTTGACATAAGGTCTTGGTCAATCAAGCCGTCAATGTCAAACAAGGCTGCACGAAAATGTACTCTATAATGATTTTGAACAACGCTTACAATTGAGTAAAGTAACATGCAATGCGTATGGTTTTCATTCCGCAGCCCGGCAACAGACATAATTTTAAAATATAATGTTTATTTTTCCACTTTTTTTGTAATACACAGTATTTCTAAGTAGTCTGTGTAATACACTGTAATCTTGTACCTATCTATGTTGGTGACTAATAGTACTTAGTTAATATACAAAAACGTTTGTCCATTGCCTTGTTCAGTTTGGTTCGGAGCGATTCACAGTACAATATTTTTGAGAACTACATAGTGAATGTTCATGGTGGAGTACATCGCGCAATAAGCAGTAAGTACGTACAATACTTATTTATTTAATTGTGTTACAGGTTGTTACGTAAATCACTGTTATAATTCTATGTATGTGGACACAGTAGGTACCTTTGCACTATAGGTAACTATGAATATCTTCAGTTTAGTAGGTGGATACTTGAAATGTTTAATCTGTTTAAACACTAGCATATTACATAACATTATTCAACCTACGGTAATGTATAAGATAAACTTATTGAATTTTATAAATTAAAACAGGGCTGTCCAAACTATGTTCCCTCGCGGGCTAATTAAACTTCTTACAAAAGCCGGACGACCAGAAATATATTTTCAGTTGTATAATGACGTTTAAAACTGTGTCTTTACTCACAAACAAGTCATACACTGAATTTTATTATTTAATAATAACACACATTTTAATCCACATGAAAGCCGAGGGCCGGATGTGGCCCGCAGGCCTTTGTTTGAACAGCCCTGAATTAATATTATAATATTTGTTTAATATTATGGACAACAAGTTATAATAAGAAGCATAGCAACATAAATAATTAACTGTTCAACCTTCAATGTATTGTAAACTTGATCAAATTATTTTCTGATAGAATTGTATCAAGAAATCTCAATCTGAATTATTTTAAAAAGAATCATCTATTTAATACATTTTAATTTATAATGATCAATAAGTTTTTCTTACATCGCCGTAGATTAGGTAATGTGACACATTCTAGTGTTTAAACAAATTAAACATTAACAAACTCTAAACAGTGTGCAAATACTTACCTAGCACATTATCCAAGAACACACCTAATCTTGAGGAAGCCTTAATTTCCCCACTTGTGCTAGGAAGGTAACAATATGTAATATTATAATGGGGACTGCAGATCTAAGTCTACACTATACTACAAATTGACACATTATCTTGAAGATAAGAATGCTTGGCAGCATGTTGGTTCGGCTCCACTAGACAATACTGAAATTTAGTCAGTACCTAGTTCTGCTAGTTCAGATTCCAATAATAAGTAATTTCATACTTTGATTCCGATGAAGGCAATCTAATTTTCTTGTGGCATCAAGCATTTCTTTCTTTATTGAAACAAGGAGTTTATTTTGTTTCTTGTATAGAAACACTATTTTATATGAATTGTCAGTATACATATGTGAGCACCATGTTAGACTAGAAGATATTTCTTTTCTCTTTGTTTGTTTTTTTTTTTATTTTAATAAGTTCTGTAATTTATATCATGTGTCAAATGTAAAGAACATTGTTCTCACATATGTGCACAATATTGGAATATTTATCAGAGATATTGTAAAACATACATTTTTAAAAGAGTAACAAATGGAGTTTCTTGCTTGTTGTTCTCTACTCGAATCTACATTTTGGAACGAGGGCCTAGCTTCACTGACGAACAGACTATTATTTATTTTATACTAGCTTTTACCTGCGGCTTCGCTCTCGTCACAAAAGGATAAAAAGTAGCCTATGTGACATACCAATACACACAGGGCCATCTATACCAATACTTTTCTTTTCCCTCGGGAATATCAATTTTTTCCGGGATAAAAAGTACCCTATTATTTAATCCGGACTTCTAACTTTACGTCTGGAAAGATTCAAAGCTACCGGTTTAGTAGTTACGGCGTGAAAGCGGAACAAACAAAAACTCACATTCCGATTTGTAATATTAGTAAGGATTTGTTGACGTTTCAAAAGTACCAAATTATGGTTTACTTGAAATAAATGCTTTTGATTTTCAGTTTGAGTTTGAGTTGGAATGATATCTGTAGACAATAAACTAATTTATTATTATTTTTCTTATTTATTTATTTATTATTTAATTTATTTATCATCACACTTACATCTATCATTAGGTAGGTTTGACCTTAAGTGATAGAGAAGCTACTTACATTAAACAAAACATGCAAACAAAGTAAATAATAGCAATATTGTTAGACAATACATAGGTACATACGAGCAATAATTAATAAAATTTAATTAAAAAGAAACTAAAATACGAAATTATCCTAATAACATTAATAACATATCACCGAATATGCTACCCTTGTGTGAAGTATCTGCTCCACTATTATAAATATGTAATAAATTTAATTAAATTAAATTAGTTAAGAATATATACTTACCTATATTTAATAATAATAAACTGTAAATATATGGACCCAATATGTCTGAAATAAATTAATTTTATTTATTTTACTATTGTATTTAGTGTGCGTATCGCGCGTCATCGGAGCTTGCTTTAGAAACTCGGTGCGAGCTGTTGGTACCACCAACAACTGCGGCCGTCGCAGACGCCTCACGTACTCATCCGGCACGCGCAGCCTAAGCTCTTCACATATCCTCGGATTGTGACATTTCCGTCGTAAAATATTATGTAAATAAGTAGCCAGCATTACCTACTTCCAGCGCCGTAAATAGGGCGGTGCCAATGGTGCCCAGGTACAGGGTGCAGACACTGGAGGGGCGCAGAAATGACCAGACTGTACTATCTAAATCTGTATCGCATTTTTAAACGATCTTGAATCAACAACACATTTCAATCGACTTACTACACATCAGACAAATGTATATCCACCTTAAGTCTTGCTCGCAATATTACATACACAAACAAAAGTACCTATACTTATAACTTTGTCGCGGAGAACCTAACGGGTAACCGGGGCTCCGGCTCGACGTGCAGGAGAAGGAACGGGGTGGTTTTTAGTCAGTAAGAGTCTGACACTCCCTCCCGCCTCACCCAGGCGGGGGCAGTCATTCGATGATTTTCCCCCCTTAAAAAAAAAAAAAAATACTTATAACTTTGGGCGTCGGCGTCCCCGCCGGCGCGGACCCCGGTTGCGCCGGCGACGTCTGTGCCCGCGGCGCCTGCGCCCGCGGGGCGAAACAAAAAAAGGAGAGGCACTCCAGCAGGCACCCGGCAGGCTGGAGTTGTAGCAGCGGCGGTGGAACCCATTCAAATTCTTCTATGGTCGATTCACACCGTGGTCCGAAACAGCCTATTCTTAAGAGATCTTTGGCATTTCACACCGCGGTCCGAACCACTCGTGGTGCGAATCAACGAAACACCCGGTTTTGCATGCACAGTTATAACCATCATGCATAACCTAGCGTGTATGGCCTCCTTTGGGTACTTTTATATTATACCTACTGATTTTAAAATAAAAATAGCCAGTAGGTAACATTTACTCGTCTATTGAATCTAGGACAAACCAAAATGAAAACAAAGTAATAAAAAATATTACGTTTACAGTTGACCATCATGCCGCCATTGACGCTAGAAGGAGACACACTCGGCGAGAGGCGCCGACACTTCAACAAACTTGCCGCGGACGCAGTCGCTAGCAAACATTATGAACTAACGCCGCTTAGTGACACAGACAACGACATAGACAACCTCCTGAAAATAGAAATCGCGTGTAAAACCAGAAATGTCGACTACGTCATCGAAGTAATGAAATCGAAGGACATGCTGTATGTGGCCACAGCTATTAAAAAGTCCACATGGATAATCACTGACCCGCAGTATGCAAACATCATCAACCCTGAGTATCTACACACACAACTAAAACCATGCATGACCACCAAAGCATTTAACAAACTGATGCTTCACATCAGACTCAATCTGAAAGATGAAAGTCGAGTCGAAACCTTTTATGAACATGCACCGCTTGATACAGATATCGCCTATCATTGGCTTCAGAACTGTTCCATGCCTTTTATTGAAAATGTTATTACGACCCAACTACTCGTACCAGTATGGCTCTTCAAACGCTTATGCAAGAAATTTAGTCATTTCTTTGCATACTATACACGTGTTCCGATACAGCCCCACGAGCGAAGACAGTTAGTCCTATTTATGTTAAAATCACATACTGATGACGTATTAAACATATTAGAAGACACAACAGTTTCATCATATATGCCAGAATTAGGTAAAAAGAGAACAGAATTTCTTTTAAAAACATGTCCACGTAGAATAATCGATAATATTAAATTATACAACATATCTCTCGACACCACTGTTCTTATAAAACATATAAACAAAAATGAAATAAGAACATTCCTTCACAAACATGCAAATGAATTAGGGTACTATAGGAAAGTCAGCAAATTAAAAAATTTCATTAGAAAAATGAATGAGGAAGAAAGGGTACAGTTCATAAGGAAAGCTTTTATTGAAAGAACTGACATGATTTTTAAGAAAGATGAAATGAGATGTTTCGACTCTGTAACTCATTCTTATCAATGGTATGAGTTCTTTCCGTTCGATATAGCATTTACCAAAATTAAAAACCTTATACGAAAACAAACCTCGCCGTCTGAACGATGTGTCATACTCTCAGTTTTGGTTAATAGTGCAAAACATAATGCGGAACATATTAAAACTTTGGTCACATATGTGTTTCAAAAACACATAAATGTTCCGTTTAAATTCAAAATAAAATTCATAAATAATTTACTTTCAAACGTTACTACCCACGAGTTCGATGAGGCCACTTGGAACATGTTGGATCAAATATTCCACAGTATGGATGTATACACTGAAACAGAGAACGACGTACAACTGTGCCTGGAATCTATAATTGTGCGTAAAGTTTTAAACGATGAACCTGTGCCAGAAGTCATAGAACAAAAATGCACGTTTAATTCATTTAAAACTGTTATTAAAACTTTAAATGAAGAACAAAAACATAAGTTATTTACGTATGTTTTTAACTCCTTACTAGGAAAAGTAAATAACGAAACGTGTGAAAAGGAGTCTGGTTTCGAAGAAACTGTAAAAACGTTACAAAATATGTTTATTTTATTAAAAGATTGGAATAAAACACTCACTGATTTCCCAATCGTGATCGAAAAAATCCAAGAACTAATTAAGGCAAAAGAAGAGAACAAGTGGACCACAGATATGTCATGCTTATACAATGTGAACAAATCATGGCGCAAGTATATGTTTAAAGAGTCGCTATCATTGTCTTTGTGCGAGGAAACATGCCTGAACGCTCTGAAGCACAAGCCACAGCTGCTGACGCGTCATGACAAAAAAATACACACGTTGCGAACTAACGACGAGGTCTCACTGCGGCGTGTGCTCGTGAAGCTGCGTGTCTACTGGCCGGACTCACTCGCCCGTCACTGGATGGAGGCTTACATGCACAGCCTAAATGAGCCCACTGGACAAAAATCTATTATTAAAGGTCTCTTTGTACTTCTTACTGCAAATCAAGTAGTAGAAATATCAAAAAAATATGTTCCCAACGATTTCAGTATAAAATGGGGCGACACCGACCAGTTCGATATTATCATACGAAAAAATATTGCAAAGCATCTATACATGGCTAGGCCACTTGTACCACTGGATACAGTATTGTGGTATGCTAAAGGTGACTATTTACAATACTCAGTACCTTCGCTTAATGCAATGATATCTAATTTGGACGTAGTAGAGAGTGAGAAGTATCTACCAAAATTATTAAATGCTCCTGTATCCTTACAAAAATTTGGTCTTCATCTAGCATTTTGTAAATTCAAACCCAATGAACTAAAAAGTATTTTGTCTAATGTTTGGCAATCTTCAAATAATTCATCAATCAGAGGCGTTATTTTTGAATACACCTACAATCAAATGTGTACAGCCAGAGATGAAACTATGGAAAAAGGTTTATGGCAGTTATTAAGCATGTTTATAGATAGCTTAAGCTCAGAGGAAGGTATTGGAATTCATAAGAAGTTAAGTGACGTCGAAAGAGTCCCTATATATATACAAGGAGATTATTATATGAAGAGTTATGAGTATTTAACTTCATTGCCCGAAAGCGCTGACTGTAAAAAGTATGTGAATGATTTACTTTCATATGCACATCTAGTAATGCATTTGCTAAACGAGGACTTTGTCATCAATAAATTATTGTCTCCTGCAATATCAAAGTTTAAGTCGTTGCATGAATGCCAGTATTTAAAGTCCCTTGCGTGTTTTATATTATGTGGTCCAGATGAGGAAAACCAAGTTCAGAGGTTTAGAAAGATTATACCTGTAATAGACGATTTTTTTCAGAATTGGGACAGCATTGAAGACGAAAGAGAACGCTGTCAAATAAGTTTTGAACAATTTTTAACAAATTTGGTTATTCACTCCATGGACTACTTTGAAATGAAATATTTAGCATTGCCTATACCTGCAAAAGTGTTTGCGGATATTCTTACTAAAATCGAAAATGATTTGCCTGTATCTGAAAACTATGTAATATTTACTAGCTGGAAGCTTGTAACAACGTACATTACATTATTAAATGAATTAATGTGTCTTGAAACAGATTGCCTATTCAATGACCTGAAACTATTTCCTTCATTCGGTGTAGCAATAACACGACATTTGAAGGAAGACTGTGATGAATACGGCCCAATAGTACATCACCGTTTCGCGGCCGCTTTTGAAAAAACCCTTGCAATATTACGCATACATAATGATGAAACGAAACTAGAAATTTTGAGACACATGTTAAACGACGATGAATTTATTCCTGCTTATCTAGTTGTCTCTAATATTATGCCAAAAGATCCACACGACGAGACAAAACATTTACAAACAGAAATACTTCAAAAACTTAAAATTAATTCATCGCCAGTGGTACAATTACATTTTAATAACGACTTTTGGGAATATCATGTTGACTAAGATTGTAAATTTTCATCTGATATCATATTTGACCTTTTGACCGCTAGAACGTAAATGCATAGCCGGCCCTCCCACGCCTAGCCACAAATTCTGCGCAAATACCTACACGATTAATTATTGCTTTTCGACCCATATCTTTTACATAAAATATTACTCGTAACATCATTATTTTTTCAGAAGCCCTATCCTTTGTCATCCAAAATAAATGTAACAATACTGTCATCCTTACGGACAGCAGAAGTGCTTTACAACATTTGGCTCGATGCGCCTCTGGAGTCAGAGGTGTACCGATAGCCTATGCAGTACTCGAAAAGATATTGCAATTACAGGACAAAAGCATAGCGGTGAAACTGCAATGGATTCCAGCTCATACCGGAATACATGGTAACGAAGAGGCGGACAAGTTAGCCAAATTGGGGTGCAGTGAAGGAATTATATATAACACCTTACCTGATCATTCAGAAATACTACCTGAACTCAAAATGTTAAATTACATCAAATGGAAAGCACACTTTAATTTAATATCTAAAGATAAGGGAATTTGGTACAGAACACTACAGTCTGTGCCTCTTCGCATTCCATGGTTTGTAATGAATAAAATGAACAGAAACTTGACGAGAATATTGTGTAGACTTAGATCAGGTCATATTTCATCAAAAAAATTTGCGTACATGATGAGAAAAGTAGACTCCCCGAATTGTGATACATGCCATGTTGAAGAAGATCTGCAACATATTTTGATGGAATGTGTCAAAAATAGTCAGGAGCGGAGGGTGCTGATGGGAGCATAACATAACATAACATCACGCCTTTTATCCCCGAAAGGGTAGGCAGAGGTGCACACAGAAGTAACACCCACTTTTCACTATGGAACACTGATGGGAGCACTTAAACTAAATAAATTTGATGTAGGTATCGCGCAAACTATTTTATCAATCCCAACGTCAAAGAAAGCAAAGATGTTTTGCAGTTTACTTTCAGTGTTCCCACAGTAGCTTGGTTCTTCACGTCGCCCTATTATCCTTTAATTTTTAAAAATTTTATTAGAATTGTAGTTTTATGCTATGCTAATAATGGATACAGTGGGGTTGTCATGTCCTATACCTAGGATAAAAACCCCGTCCAAAATAAACTGAATAAAAAAAAATCATTATTTTATTTATTTTGACCCTATTTTAAATTATACTATCATTATACAGCAGTTGCAAAGGTTTAAACAACGAACATAAAACTAGTCTTTAGAAAATCAAATAATAAAAAGGGGCATCACTAATCTCCTGAGTGACGTCATCCGCTGTCGGGAAGAGCTGCCTCTGGCGTGGCTGGCACACCTTTTGACAACTGCCTAGCATGCGACTACATAGGGATTTTTTTTTAAGGTGTGAAAATCATCGATTGACTGCTCCCGCCTGGGTGAGGCGGGAGGGAGTGTCAGACTCTTACTGACTAAAAACCACCCCGTTCCTTCTGCACGTCGAGCCGGAGCCCCGGTTACCCGTTAGGTTCTCCGCGACTCCGAATCGGCATCGGCCGTATTGGGCCCCATCTGTGGTGGTCTGATGGCTCTTTGAGGCGCGCGCGGAACGCGACGCGCCGTAAGGGATAGGATATTGCAGCACATATAAGTAATAATCATAGATGATACACTATAAAATAGCTGTAATAATCAGAAGCCGAAGTAGGTAGATTGATTTATGGTTGTTGACGTCAAACGTAGAGGATAATATGGCCTCCAAAATACCGGAACTTCATAAAATTATTTATTGTGATATTTTTACGGAATTTTGAAATTAGCACGAATTAATCTTTAAAGTGAAAAACGGCAGCGTAGATTGGTATTATGATTATAATACCAATATTATGATTATAATACCAATCTACGCTGCCAGTGTTAGATAATGGTGAAAGAAATCAGTATTTTATTTTATACAAAAATATCTTGGAATATGGTATCAATTATTATCAATCTTTTCCACAATTTTATAAATATTATGCATTAGGGAATATTCAGATACAAATAGTTGTCATTAAAAAATAATTGTCGAAGTAATAGGAAGCTACTTTGAATAAAATATTTCATAAAATTTAAATAAATGTTACCTTACTTGCCCATGAATATATCTTTGTACCCTATTACAATGTTTCATTAATGTAGTTTTAAATAATAGGAAAAAGAAACACAGATAACTGTCGTTTTCTGGACGGCTATAGCCGTCGGTGGCGTGTGTGGCACGTTTTCGTTTGACGGCTATTGCCATCCGTGGCGGTCTAAAGATTCAGTATTTTGTGTATAAATATGAGATAATGTATCTATTTCTTAGATGTTTACTGTATACTATATTTAATTAATAGTTACCTGTGTACCTAATTAATTTATCAATTTACCTTTGCCACTTCAGAACCTAAGCTGTAACTGTTTTTGTATTATTAAAACTATGAACCATTCAAGGATATTTTATTCACATTATGGGCCCGTTCGTAGCGCATCGAAGTCGAAAATCACAGCGAAAACGCATAGTATGTATGTACCTCGACAATGAAAAGATACGTATGAATGTGCGCGAATGCAATGCAGTGTACTCCAATGTATTTTCGCTACTATGCGCTTCGATTTGCGCTTGTATCTATTAGGATGATGACATAGTATGAAAATTAAAAATCGAATTAGTCCGTAAGTTAGGTAATGAAAAAATATTAGACACGTATTTTTCTATTTTGTCGTATAATAAAGCAATACTTAGATAAACCGAATCAAAGTTTAGGAGTGAGGGCTTTTTTTTCTTTTTTTTTTAACGTCATTTCTACATATACAATCTACATAGAAGTAACGTCTCGCGACATTTCAAATCAATATATCGTCGAAAGTATTTGTTTCTGTAAGAAAATGAGAAATACGTGTCTAATGATTTAAAATAATCTACCAGACGGACATTAAAATTAAAATTAAGCATCTACCCTATTGACCCTAACCAAAGGCATGAAAATTATTATAATTCTTTCTAAACTACGTTTAAAAAAACCGATTTCAATCCCCCTCGTCTGTTGAAGTCGGTTAATTATATTGTAAAAGGAATGTCGAGTGCATAACCACTCTTTTGTACGAGATTCATCGGACCTTATTACTCCGGTCGAGCCGGCCCATTCGTGCCGAAACATGGCTCTCCCACACTGAAATAGATATAGTTTCAGTATCGAAGATTTTACAAACAGTCTGAAACAGTTTGTCATCAGCCGAAAAAAAAATTCTTGTGCAATATTTCTTTGGTTTTGGAACAAGCCCACCACATGTTCCCAAAACCGCTACAACTCCTGTAAGCCAGGACCTAGAGTAGATACAACCATGAAAACACCGGAACGCTGAAGTTCGGCGCGTCCCAAGGACATGAATAACTGTCTTGGTTAGAACGAAGTGAATTAGGAGATATTATAAGAGGAGAAGAAAACAACGATAGTTTTTACTTCCCTTATGCCCGAATACTGAAACGTTATTTAATTTTAAGTCCCGCTAAGAATAGTTCTGTCACTACTAATTCTTTGTGAAATGACAGAGATGGCAGGATATTTAAGCACAACTTAAAATTGAGTAACGTTTCAGTATTACTGCAGGAGACAGATAGTATTAAGCCTTAACTCGTCGAGTACCGGTTTTGTAGACACAATTATAGAACAATAGGTTGCGGTCACCGGTGACCGCTTGGTGTTTGACAGTTTAAGGCACAAAAAGAGACTGTAGAACAGGGAGAAGCCCAGTCGCCAAGCACCACGGAATTGACTAAAAACTAAATGGGTCCTACTGTGTAACATATCTCATTTCAGGTTATTTAATTATAAACAAGCCTTTTTATTGTTTAATTCTCAGCCTGTGATTATACACTTACATGCTGGGCTTGCCCTCAAGTCTAGAATCGTCCTGACGTTGCTTTTAAATTTATAGTAGGTACTTACTACATTTATTCCCAATGGTTAGCGATGATGCGGCCAACGACTTTTTGGTTCAGTAGATACTTAGGTATATTAATATCGTACATACCTCTAATATCACATATCGACATGCCTACAAAACAAAACTAATGACACTAAAAAACATCACAAGCATTTCAACCTGCCAATTAGATCTAAAAGACAATGCTGGCATAAATTCTTTTATCTATTTTTATTTAAAAAATAAATGCCAATAAGTTCTTTAGGAGACAATGCACCCGTTTCAGTACTTTTTGTTGCCAAAATATCGTTTCAGCGGCTGGAAACTTTATTAGATGTAAAAACATTTCCGCCATTTGTTTCCAACACTGAAAATAGCGTCAAGCGTTTTATTTTATTGTTGTTAAACTGTATTTTGTAAGTCATATTTTCAATAGGTAAAATATGTATTCGGATTTCAGTTTAAAACTGTTCGGACTAGTTTCAAGTGACGAATGGGACTCATAATCATGGGTAGCATTCCTGCTGCGTGACGTGCATGTATTTACGTCAATAAGAAGTCAATTCGAACTCTGGAAGTAAGCTAGATCGCGGTCCGCTGTGTCATTTGCCAAACGAAGTCAGGGAAGAGAAAAATAAAAATAAATTTAAGATTAAATTTAAAAAATATCTGTTTACCACACGTACCATATTTAAAAAAAAATCAGAAGTAGCACGGAGTCTGGAATTGTGCTCGGTATACGTATATGGCAATAGGCTCACCCCCTCTTACATGGGACTCATAACGTAAATAGTGAGAAGTGGGTGTTACTTTGTACAATGGCATTAAGTGCCGAAAATGTGCATCTCCGGCAACCTTTTCGGGGCTAAAAGGTGTGATGTGATGTTATGTTATGTAATTCGCTTAAAAGGAGGTTGGGGGAAATCCACATTAAAACAACATCCGCTAAATGGTTTTGATTGGTTACTGAATTGAGATAACGCATGTTCATTTGTTACTTATTATAAATTGTTGCATAATGTATGATGCATGTCTATCAATTGCAGTTTCGCGTGAATACACTTAAAGATAAATAGAGGACCTGCTCCTGCGCGATCCCACCCGTTGCTCGGTCCTTGTTACTCGTCATGTTTTATGGCTAAACTTACAGGCTCTTCGATAAATGTAGGTAACCTACTTTCTAACACAAAAATAAATTCCCTATCTCCCCAATTCTCAAATCTCTAATCCCCAAAAGGCCGGCAACACACTTGTACATCCTCTCGTGTTTCGGGGTCCATATTGTTTACCATCAGGTGATCCGTCTGCCCGTTTACCGGCTTATACGATAATAAGTTTGTGAAGACAAAATTGACTAAAATTCAAACGAATCATTGCTATCTTCAAACTAAGAAAGCATAAGCAAAGTACCTTTACAATCACAATCTTGAACTAATAATTAAATAGTACCTACATCAGTGCACACGCCTCTCTTTATCATAATATGCCCCTATTTTACCCTTTAAAAGATAATATTCGCACGGCTGCAACACACATGTATTATACATTTATAAACCTTCCTTAAGAATCACTCTCTCTATTAAAAAAACCGCATCAAAATCCGTTGCGTAGTTTTATAGATCTAAGCATACATAGGGACAGACAGACGGTGGATGGCGACTTTGTTTTATACCAAGTAGTGACTATGTAGTGATTATGATACCTATTGTGCTGTACACCGGGCATAAGAATTAGCTTGTTTCTTTTTCTTCATTTGGCTTTGGATTCTGGAATAAAATATACAAAAATGTATGTTCAATACAAATTATGGGATTTAGGGCTTGCAGTGTGCACTATTAAAAACAAGTTTTTTTGAAGATTTTATTTACCAAACGTAGATGTTTGACAATAAATTCTTCTTTTCTCGAATTGGCAGTCGTTCTAGCAACCACTCAACTCCTTGCAATTATAGAATAAAGTCGCGGAGAACCTAACGGGTAACCGGCGCTCCGGCTCAACGTGCAGGAGAAGGAACGGGGTGGTTTTTAGTCAGTAAGAGTCTGACACTTCCTCCCGCCTCACCCAGGCGGGAGCAGTCATTCGATGATTTCCCCCCTTAAAAAAAATTATAAAAAAAATCATACAATAAAAGAATAAAATAACGGAAGTACCCTGTACTCCCCCATTATGGTCAATAACCTAATCAATTATCAAAACAAATACAAAATTACTGTGTCTAATATCCATTATAACTGTGAGTAATTATGCAAGCAATCAACAACATCATTTAATTCCTAGCAACCAATGGGCAGCCTAAAATCGCGGTCGGTCGTGAAAGTTATATTTTTTAAGCCGTCGCGCGCCAGTCGCTAACCCGCCTTCACAACGCGCGCATGCGCGTTCACAAACAAAATTGAAACCGGTTCCGTATTACAAACATAGTTACAAAATTCTTTAAAAGAAAGTCTGTGTTAAGTGTTTATTGATGTTAATCTGAGGAACCTAATATTGGAAAATTAACAAAATGAATGTAAGTACTTTTAAACTTTCTTATTTTCACCATATTATTGTTTTATGTTTTCACGATTTTTATTGCACTGCGCTGTGTCTCTGTATGAGTGCGAGTCGTTACAACGCTCGCAGCAAATCAATTGTTTTCATTCTCAATTCAAAATCAAGAAGTCCTTGTGCCGATAGACAATAATATTCAACTTTTTTTAAAAAAGTAATAGTTATCATTTCATTTAAATTACTTATCTATTATTTTATAAAAACGAATGCGTGCAACAATAAAAATGAATGCCTAATTATTTTAGCCTTCATACAAATATCGAGTAGGTCGGCAATCAATAAAAGAAAATTTATGCTGCACTGGGGCCATTGCACTGAGCAGCCGTTTACGGTGAACTAGTTACTGGTCCATTCATAAAACAACAAACTAGACGAATGTGTGAATGTGTGACAAATTAGACGTTGTTCTTAGGGAACTATGGAACAAAATACTTAAGTAGGTATGGTGTCTTGTACTTGTAGTCCTTAGGTTGGTGGCTCACTATATTAAAATTCGTATTGTGTTAAAGTAAAATAGAAGTATTTATGATTCTAAAGTCTCTACGTAGGAAGAAGAGGAGGTAGGCACAGTACCGTCTTAACCATAAGGGCACTCGGGGCCCGTGCCCAGGCCCTCCTCAGAGGGCCCCGAAAGACCGATACCTAATTTTAACAACGGAGACATAAGATTCATTCATTAATAAATTATAAAATAATATAAATTTATTCATTAATAAATATAAAATAAAAATAATTAAATAAATTTAATTTAAATATTTGATCCTTCCCCAATTTTGTAGCGGGTTCGCTTCTCCATATTTTTTTTTTCGGGTCTGGTATGTCTATGTGAACTTGTATGTTTGTAAAGTCATGATACAAGAGAAAATCCTAGTTAAAAAAAAACATTCAAATTTCAAATAGGGCCTCGAATTTTTGTGCACCCAAGGGCCCCAGTGCATAGTGGCCAGTACCTATATAGGTAAGATGGCCCTGGGTAGGTCGGTCCCTGTCAGATATTTAGCACCTGTATCAGCTTACAACACACCCGGGTTTTTTTAAGCGGGGAAAATCATCGAATGGCAGACTCTTACTGACTAAAAACCACCTCGTTCCTTCTCCTGCACGTCGAGCCGGAGCCCCGGTTACCCGTTAGGTTCTCCGCGACAACACACCCGAATAGATTATTAGTCTACGTACTATTCTACTCTGCAAATATTTCTCATAAGATCTAACTAGCTTTTGCTAGTGGTCTAATTTGTTCCTTCTAAGTTAAGTAATAAAGTTTAAAATAACCTGAGATAGCTTTGTATCTAAAATTTGAACAGGATGACAAAACTAAACATTTTGACTCAAACATGTCACCATTTAAAGTAGCGAATAGCGAAACAATCAACACGCCATGTTTTGAACAACATAACCGAACAACTCGTCAAGCTGTACCAAACAGTGTAAATAGATTTTAACTTAACCACCAGACAATAAGGTTGAAAATCTTGTGAAGATATTTGACAGTTAGGCTGGCTTTACGAGCCGGTGTCTGTATCTACTTTATAACAGCATTTTTTCCAAAAGCAGGTGAAAGTGTTTGCTAGAAAACGACACTTCATACAAGTGCAAGCAATTTTCTTTCTTGTTTACAATATTTATGTCACTAGTTTTAAATGGTGACTGCCTCGGTGGCCAAGTGGTCGCAATTGCGAAATTTTTTGAAAAACTCGAGACCCCTAAGCCCGGCAAGGGGTCTCGAGTTTTTCAAAAAATTTCAGTAGTAGCACGGAGTCTGGAATTGTGCCCGGTATACCTTATTACATGGGACTCATAACATAAATAGTGACATAAGTCATAACATAAATAGGGAAAAGTGGTTGTTACATTGTACAGTAGCATTAAGTGCCGTAATGTACACCTCTGCCTACCCCTTCGGGGATAAAAGGCGTGATGTTATGTTTTAAATAGTTGGTTCTGTGTACTCAAGTCGAGTTTAATTTACCTCTGAGCTAATTTTCATTATGATCCGAACAGCCGTTTTCACGTAATGGAAGACAAGCATCTATTAAATTTATAATGAAACTGTCGTGGGACATACTAAATTAATTACTATGTTTTTGGCTTACTTACGTAACTGTTTAAACACGACTAGTTTCAAGCCATGCTAGAGGCTCTAGACGTCGCAGAGAACCTAACGGGTAACCGGGGCTCCGGCTCAAAGCGCAGGAGAATGAACGGGGTGGTTTTTGGTCAGTAAGAGTCTGTCATTCGATGATTTTCCCCCTTAAAAAAAGCAGCTCTGGATCTGTTACTCTCTTGCTCTTGAGATCTATTCAAATTATCGCATAATGAAATGATATTTATTTCTGTAAATAGGTTACAAAATACTTAACACGTGAAATGTAAAAAGGTATAATAAGTTCATTTAAACTGTCAAACACCAAGCGGTCACTGGTGACCGCAACCTATTGTTCTATAATTGTGTCTACAAAACCGGTACTCGACGAGTTAACGTAGGATCAAGAAAAGACAACTGCCTATCGCAAGATATTCAAACCAGTTTTAAGCTTTTTCTATCACCTGTCGATATTGTGGGAGCATGTGCAGCCTAGAATAATATCTTAGACTTGAGATAGAGACTTTATTAGTCTGGGACGTACTCCTTGCATCGTTCATTAGTTCATTACATAGTTTTTTTTTGGAATCGGAGGAGACGAGCCGACGAATCAGCTGGTGGTAACCGATCAGTGCCGCTCGTGGAAAAATTGGAATTTGTCTCTAATCAAAGTCAAAGCATTATTTATTTTATCTCTAACTAGCGGCCCGTCCCGGCTTCGCACGGGGGGACTTAAGATTTTTTACATAGTTTTACGTTTTATTTATATTTAATTTATTCTCAGTTTATTATTTTTGAAATAGTACATAAGTACTTACCTAATAGGTACCTTTTGGATGAATTAATAGTCTTTAGGTAACCGATTGAACAATTCAAAAGTTATCTAGAGCAAACTTTTATAAGGATTGAACCATTCATTTAAACTATTGTTATGGGTAAACTATAAAAGGTAGACATATGCTCTCGCGGACTTTTTTAAAAATAATGTTAAGATGAACAATTCATCCATAGAGCATTTTTGTATAACTTTAACTATATGCTCAGCGCACGCCACGGAAGGCCACAGAAACGATACTTTTTCCCCGTTTTTAAAACATTTTTGGTTACTGCTCCACAACTATAAGACCTAGCGTGATATTATATAGCCTATGTTACTTCTGAATAATGCAGCTTTCTAATGGTGAAAAAATTATTGCAATCGGTCCAGTAGTTTTTGAGTTTATTCATTACAAACATACAAAAATACAAAAATACAAAAATACAAATCTTTCCTCTTTATAATATTATTAGTATTAGTATTAGTATTAGTATTAGTATTAGTATATTAGTATTAGTATAGATTAAACCATAGTTTGGTACTTTTGAAACGTCAGCAAATACAAAATAATAATAATCTGTCAGTCTGGTCCGTCAGTGAAGCTAGGTGAAGCTAGGTGCTCATTCTAAAATGTATAATCGAATGGAGAAGAACGAGCAAGAAACTCCATACGTTACTCTTTTTAAAAAAGTATGTTCTATGTACAATGTCTCTGATACATATTCCCATACTGTATGTATATGTGAGAACAATGCAAAGACACGCTTGACGCATTATACTAATTAGATTATAATTAATAGAGATGATTTTGTTAACAGTTCAAATTGGTAGGTATCTCAAAAAATATGAACTATCCTCTTGAACTGTTGATGCACACTAAACTTCTTTGACAACACTTTCACAAGTTATAGACGTCTATGTTATCTTATACTCTTATACTTCTAAATAAAACAGAAGTCTGTTTTTTTTTTGTTGTTTGTTTCAACGCGCTAATCTCCGTAACTACAAGTCTGATTTCAATGATTCTTTTTGTGTTGGATAGTACATTTATCGAGGATGGCTATAGGCTATTAAACATCACGCTACGACCAATAGGAGCTGAACAGAGCGTGTGAAACCGCGCGGAAGTAGCTGGTTTATAATAATCATGAATTAATCAATCAGACATTTTGATTTTTTTCGCGCAGTACCGTTCCGTAATTCGATCTTTGTTACGATTATTTCGATGCGCACGCAATTTTTTATTTCCATTTCATCGGTTTATTGACGATTATGTTGTAGCATACGTTAATAAAAAAACAATTGAAAGTGTACCTACAAATACTTTCTTCACGTCGAAGTTGGGGTAGAATTTGTGAGAATTTGTCATGTGTGAACTAGATACAGCAAAGAGGTTACTAGAGCATAAAGGCTTCGTATTCAAACTTCGATTTCTTCCACTTAGGGCCGATTTTCCAATCCTCAGTTAATAATAAACTGTAGAATAAAATTGACGTTTGACATTGTATAGTATGAAAGAATTGTCAAATATTCAAAATTATTCCACAGTTACAATTAACTGAGCATTGAAAAATCGACCCTTAAACGAAGAAAATCTAATTTTTTCCTTTGTTTAACAGGTTCTGGTAGACGGGATTTTTTGCATTCTATATCTGTACAAGTCCCCTATAAGTACTTAGTTGGCACTTAGTGGCGAGCCGATTGCAAAATGTAAATTCCAGACCTCAAAGTTTAAGTCAACAACAAGTAATTATAATTATTGATAGGAAGGGCCAAAGAGTTCAACGTTTACCACTAAGATACATAAAATAATATAGGCTTAAAACAATAACTATGTATTATTGTAAAATTATTATTTTCCTCCACCTAAATGTAATATGCGTATGTACCATTATTAAATGAACTTGGGTGACCTGTCCTCTTTTTCCGGGAACTCTCAATTCGTAAATATATTTCGATGGCACGACCGGTTACTTGGCCAACCACAATGACTCACGAACTAACTAAATAGGTACGTCAGATTGTCTGATTGTCTGTCTACCGCCCGACTGCACCAAGG